TACAAATCAATTTAAAACTGTCTGACTTACTTAGCTGACAGACTTCACTGTAAATAAGGTGTCCTTTATTTGCAGCTCCACCATTACTTTCTTAGTTGACCTTTGGTGAACACCTACACTTTCTTCTGTAGCCAACATAAATTGTCCTTAAAAAGTCAGGGAAGGATTGTCTTTTTTCTCTGCATTGGTACACAATCTTTCTTAATAAGACCCTGATCAAAGTGACATCGCTAGATACTATTAAGGCTCCCATAGTGATAATTTGTAAGTGAACTATTTCTAGGGCCTCAGATGGATCCAGTTTGTAATTTTGTATAATTTTAGTATAATGGCTAAGATAGAATCATAGGATCAGCTAGGTTGGAAAAGACATTTAAGATCATAGAGTTGAACCGTTACCCCAGAATAGATGTTCTATTTCATTTTATTATTAATATAATAATATAAACAGCACATTACTTATTCTTCCCTGCCAAATTGGCCATTGAATCTGAAACATTTAGAACAGACTGATAGGTAAGATCACAGCTTAAGTGGAACTTTCATAATGGTGCAGTATTTCATTTGACAAGACCACAGCATTCAGTGACTTGTCTCAGAAACTTGTTACTTAGGAAAAAGCATGAAAATTTTTGTAATGGTTATTTTAACCTTATTTATATTCTAAGTGACATTTTACACAGACATCATTAGAAACCTGCATATTTTGTGTAAAAATGGAGCCTAACAGAGTTAGTTTATCTGCAAACATGACTTGATGCTATGTAATGTCTCTACAGGCCAGATCTGAAGATGTAAAATTGAAAGCTGAGGTTTTGTGGAATTAAAAAGAAAAAAAAAGTTATATTAGTTCCCCCTTCCCTTTTAAATAATATCCCTGGGTTTTTAACTTCAGGAGATTTTAATATTTTGCTAACAGTATCTAAAGCAAATACAAGCTGTCTTGTATTTGCTGCAGTAGGCTGTCATGACAACTGGAAGTTTCTTTGTATACAGCGCTGGAAGATATGATTACTTTGCGGTCAAAGCAGACAACATTCAACAGTTCTAGGACAAAAGCGTGCAAAGTTTGTATATCTAAAATTATAATTTTTGATACATTAATCATAGAATCATAGAATAGTTAGGGTTTAAAGGGACCTTCAACAGTCATCCAGTCCAATCCGCATATTAATGATAATATATCCAGGAGATTATGTACATTAAAAATAATAAACAAGCCTAAGGGTTTTCAACATTTTGATATTCATAAGAAAATTTTAGCTTATTAATGAAAAAAAAGTGTAAATCTGATTTTAAACAGTATTGGGGTTTATTCTATTTCCAAATAAGATTGGTTCCAGAGTCTTTTGTAGTCAGTGAGTAGTCTCTGATATTTTTGATCAATAATAGTTTACGCTGTTCTTGTTGCAGCAAAGGGTTTTTGTCCATCATAATGAGGTGTATTTCCTGTAAGAAATTTTGTTTCTACCTCTCAGTTGGCCTTTCAGCTGCTCAGAAATACTTCCTAAGCATCAGAGCCAAACCCACCAGAACTAGTAGGAACTGCAGTTCATTTCAAAGCTCTCAGTTTGCTCTACAGATGTGTATATCCTTCAGCATATAGTCCATTCTCAAAATAGCTATGTCCTAACTCTTCTAGTCCCTATTATTTTGCAGGTATATTCTTCCTTCCTGCATTTAATAAAAATTTTGTCACACCTTATCTACTACAATTTGCACTTAATTCAGTTGAATTTGGAGTGTTTTATGGGACCTTTCTGTTTTACAATTAAGTTTTCTTTTCAGAACAAATAATTTCAAAAGTTCAGGAGACATAGCCAAGTTTGCCTGTAGTCATTTTACCTCACTAGGTTCCACTTGAAAGTCTTGCAGTCCTAAGGAAATTGCAGCAGATGTTTGCTCTGACTCTGTAAGATCCATCTGTCTTCAGGACTAGTAGAATGAAAGTTCAGTTCCTTTATTATAATGAGTGACTGTTAATGGGAACGAGTTAAAAATCTTAAAATGAGTTTTTCCTTTCTCTATCAGTTGCTGGTAGCACAGTATCACATAATGACAAACAGAAAATTGGACAATTATTGCCACCATTAAATCAGTCCGGATTCTTTAGAAATAGTAGGTGTTATCAGCATGAAAGGGACATGAAAATGAGCTATAGTGTCTTACAGACCAGAAACACTAAAGAAACTTATGCTTCTATACAGGAATCTCCATGGTGAACAATGTCTTCATCTGACATTGAATCTAAATCTAAAGGATCTAAATTCCTTTAAATTTTCATAAATTACCTCTCCACCATGATGAAGAAAACATTTATCTGTTTTACAACAAAAAGGTGACCAAACACAATGCAAGAAATTGCTGTGCCATATTTCTTGCCAACAATCACAAGTCTGATTTGTTTAATTTATAGCTGTATACTAGACAGAGTGGTGATAAACCTGTAAGTGCTGAGCATTAGAGGAGAGATGTTTTATAGCATAAATACTGCAAAACTCTGAAAACAGTCCCTATTCTTTGACAAATGCTACATCTGCAGTAAAAAGCTCTGACCACCAAACCCAAGTCTTGGAAGACAGATGCAGGGACTGTGAGAATGAAGAACTTGGGGCACACTGTAGGAATGGATCTGGTTCAAGACCATCTTAAGAACCTGAACATACACAAGTCCATGTGACCTGATGAAATCCATCTGCAGGTCCTGAAGGAGCTGGTAAATGAAGTTGCTAAGCTACTGTCCACTATATCTGAAAAATCATGGCAGTCAGGTGAAGTTCCCAATGACTGGAAAAAAGGAAATATAACCCCCATTTTCAAGAAGGAGAAAATGGATGACCCAGGGAATTACAGACCAGTCAGTCTCACCTCTGTGCCTGGCAAAATCTTGGAGCAGATTCTCCTGGAAGGCATGCTAAGGTACATGAAAATCAACAAGGTGCTTGGTGACAGCCAGCATGGCTTCACTAAGGGGAAATCCTGCCTGACCAATTTGGTGGCCTTCTATGATGTGGCTACAGAACTGATGGACAGGGGTAAAGCAGTTGATGTCATCTACCTGGACTTGTGTAAAGCGTTTGACACTGTCCCACATGACATCCTTGTCTCTAAATTGGAGAGACATTAGTTTGATAGGTGGACCACTCAGTGGATAAAGAACTGGTTGGATGGCCACACACAAAGTGTTGTGGTCAATGGCTCCATGTCCAGCTGGAGACCAGTAACGAATGGTGTCCCTCAGGGATTGGTGTTGGGACCAGTCTTGTTTAACATCTTCTTTGCTGACATGGACAGTGGGATTGAGTGCGCCCTCATCAAGTTTGCCGATGACACCAAGCTGTGTGGTTCGGTTCATACGCTGGAGGGAAGGAATGCCATCCAGAGGGAGCTCGACACGCTTGTGAGGTGGGCTGATGAAGTTTAACCATGGCAAGTGCAAGGTCCTACACTTGGGTCGGAGCAATCTCAGGCACAGCTACAGGCTGGGCAGAGAAGAGATTTAGAGCAGCCCTGCAGAGAAGGACTTGGGGGTGTTGGTTGATGAGAAAATGAACATGAGCCGGCAGTGTGCACTTGCAGCCCAGAAAGCCATCCGTATCCTGGGCTGCATCAAAAGCAGCGTGACCAGCAGGTTGAAGGAGGTGATCCTGCCCCTTTACTCTGCTCTCATGAGACCTCACTTGGAGTACTGTGTACAGTTCTGGTGTCCTCAACATAAAAGGGACATAGAACTGTTGGAACAAGTCCAGAGGAGGGCCACAAGGACGATCAGGGGACTGGAGCACCTCCCTTATGAAGACAAACTAAGAAAGTTGGGGCTGTTCAGCCTAGAGAAGAGAAGGCTACGTGGACACCTCATAGCAGCCTTCTATTATCTAAAGGGGACCTATAGAGATGCTGGGGAGGGACTGCTCATTAGGGACTGTAGTGATAGGACAAGGGGTAACACGTTAAAACTTAAACAGGGGAAGTTTAGATTGGATATAAGGAGGAAGTTCTTTATTGTGAGGGTGGTGAAGCACTGGAATGGGTTGCCCAGGGAGGTTGTGAATGCTCGATCCCTGGCAGTGTTCAAGTCCAGGTTGGAAGAGGCCTTGGGTGATATGGTTTAGTGTGAGGTTTCCCTGCCTATGGCAGGGGGGTTGGAACTAGATGATCTTAAGGTCCTTTCTAACCCTAATTATTCTAAGATTATACGATTCTATGATTGTAAAACTTGAGCCAGCCACCCGTTTAACATTCAAGCTATATTTATAACTTCAAATATGAATTGAAATAAGAGGACAATGTAAACACAAAATGTTTTAATATACAATTTTTAAATTATTTTCATACAACAGAAGAAAAGAGTCTGTCTATTTGTCACAGGTTCATACTGCCTTCAGTGTCATATTGTCAGAGCACATTCTGTTATTGAACAAGCAGACAATTTAGTATCAGTTGTAAGCTGTTGACTGTTGTGTCATCTGCTGAAAATCGCAATGTGGACACGTGTTGTTGTGTATATTTTTAAAGCTGCCAAAAAAAAATATACCAGGCACTTGCAGCATTAGATAATGTCATTTGGTTACCCCTCATTCCCAAGGGATTTCTCCTTTTCAGACTTCCATGAAAAGAAATGTTACACTTGCTGAGTAAAGCCAGGGAAATTAAGCCACAGACTGTGATATTTTTTCAAGGGTTTTAAGAGATCTCTTCTTTATCCACAGTTCAGACAATGACCAGCTTTGAAGAGAGGAATGCAAAATGATATGGAGGCTGCTCTACAATGTAGGGAGCTGATTTGTGATCTAGTTAGGCTGAGCTTCAGATCAAATGCACTATAGCATTTTCTCCATGTTAGAATTTCTTAGCACTAAATGCTCATGATACCAGCTGCCTGAGAAATTGTTACCCTTATCCAAGACAGATGTAGCTCCTAGCTAATGGAAAATATTAGCGTCTGCAAATAACGGTTTATTTATCAGATTAGTGTTTTGTGACCGACCGCAGCTGCATACCTTGACTGTGAATGACTCCTCAAAATACCTTCTGTCCTCTGCCAACATCAGCTTTTTCTTGCTCAGCTTCTGCTTTAGCCAGTTGCTCCATGAACTCTTCTTCTCATGTTGTACCTTCTTTGTAGCCGTGCTGTAGGATGAGTAGAGCTGTAGGTCATCTGCATTACACTAGCATTTGACTCTGTGTCCACTTCATTTTATAGTCACTTGGTGAAAAGACAGTGAAATAAATGGTCCTTCTGAGGATGTACAGATGCAGAGTCTTAGTTTCTTTCACTGCTCCTTGAACATGTGTGTTTCAAGGCAAGTGTCAAATCCATTGATTCTATTCTTAAAACTGTGCTTCTTTGAGGGAGGATGGCAGTGTCATATGGCTTTCCAAAGTAGGTATACCATTTTCATCATTTTACCGCCTTTTCTCTCTTCCTATTTCCCAGCCCGTATATTATTATTATTATTATTATTTCTTTTTATTATTATCACCATCATAAGTATCTTTAAGACAGTAGAGAGAAAAAGTGAGTGAAAGAATGCAATTAGTTTTTCATGCAAAATCAGACTTGGAAAAAAAATAAAATGCACACAAATACAAAAATAAAAATACAATTCCTTTTTCTCTAAGTGGAATGAGAATATTTTCCATCCACTGAATTCTGCTTTATTTTGGAACTCATGATATTTTTTTCACCAGTTTGTTTCGTTTACTTATTCATTCCTACTTTGATGCTGGATGTCACAGTCTGCAAAGCTTTGCTGTCTTAGAAGCCATATAATGTCCCTTTTTGATGTCATACTACCTTACTGTTGAATAAAGGCTACCTAAAGTCCATGCCCGTGATGCTTCCAGGAGTATTGAAGAAATTTTTCAGTACAGCAGCATTTTTCTTGTCATCTTTTTTACATCTGTAGGAATATGTAATTCTACTAATTAAATGTTAAACATAGAGGACAGTTTAAGACCAGGAGGAAAGTCTTTGTCAAATGCATAAACCACAAAGGAATAAGATGTTGCTATGATATTCTCTTTTTTCCCCCATGTCTCGTGAGCTTATCCAAATCACAAAATTCTGTGTTAGACTGATTTGTTCAAGAGCATAATGCAGATATTCATACTTCAGAGTCAGTCAAACCCTTGGGGGTCTTGACTTTCATAAGAACAATTGACCTGGACTAGGTTTCTGGGATTTCATTAGGATCATTCTTTTGGAGAATTAGGAAATCACAAAGGATAAGGAAGAAATAAGACTTTTCATCTAGGCGATGCTGTCTTCTTGATTATGAAGTCACTGTTTCCCCTTGGAGGCCTCCCAAATGCAGCCCTCTTCCTCCTCCTCCCCCTCCTACTCTGCTTCAAAAATAGTTACCAATGATTGCTTCCTCTTGTTTCTGAATAGTAATAGCTGTGGAAACGATCAAAGCTTGTTAGTGGCATTACTACTCACTGATGTCTCCTTTAGTCTTGTGGGGATGGTACCATAAGTTTTACTACTTACTGGCCTTGTTACAACTATCCTGTGTTTCCCTGAGACTTGGGGAAGGGCTGTGGGATGTTAGACTAAACCTGTCCTTTATTGGCTTCTCATTTTTTGGTAACTTCTTAAATTCTGTTGTCATGGGCTGCTGGGGGATGGATAACTTGGGCAGGAGGAAAGTATTCTGTGAAAGTTAACAATTTGAGCTTTTGCAGCATATTTTTTATCTACATAAGAAATTATGTTATTTGAAGGTTTAGGACATACTTGTGTTAAAAGTTTCCAGGACATCAGTACCAATGCTGTAATGTCTCAGATGCAGCTACAATATAGTGTTGCTGCGTGCTGTAAATCTGTGTGTTTCAGAGTTGCATGTCATGGAAATTTGTGCTAGGCAGCTAGGACTAAATGAGAAAAAAATTATTTTTTTTGCATATGGATATGTTTGCACACCAAATGTAAAGGTAGCCCTGTGGGCTGCTTGTTCCGAACTCCTTTCTGCTATAACAATTGCAATTAAAACATAAAGCAAAATACTGCTTTTTTTCTTTTTCCCTTCAGCTCCCATAGCCCCACCCCATTTTATTATATTAAAGAGACATGTTCAACTAAGTTGTTTAAATACTCTTGCAGAAAGCATGCTACAATGTGTGTTGTTTGTTTTGGCAAATGGGATGCATTTATGTTGTTTCTCATACAAACAATTATTTCATATGTACTCTGCTGGGTTTAACAATGATTAATGAGTATTTTATGTAATTCTACAAAGTCAACAATAATAACTATTTTCCTTCAGAATCTAATACAAACCTGAGGTAGGTTTAATGTGTACATATTAGCTTTATTAATAATATTAATGCCACTATCTGACTTTTTCCTTTCTTAAAAGTAGAAATGATTTTGTTAATTTTATACTTAATGGCCAGGAGCATATTCGGAATACATATTGCAATTTTGCTGAGATCAAATATTCATGTTCCATGATGTGTATTATGAAATAAAAGATGCATAACTCATTTTAAAAGAATGTATTGTGACAGTAAATTATAAATCACTCCATTAGCTTTCTATCACTGCAGCTTTCGGAAGCTTTGTCTATATAATTTGCTGTCTTGTACCTTGATCTGTTAAATATTTCCTTCTTAAGACTGTAATGTCAGCCAAATGAAACAACAGAGCATGTTAATTCATGTTTAAAGCAGGCATTCAGTTGTCATCTTGCAGCACCACTAATTCAATGTTGAAGACTTCTTTGCTACCTGTTATCAATTTTAAATAAAAAACCAAACATGCAGTTAAGAAAAAGCAATACTTACTTGAAAAAGATTCTGCAAGGTCTGTTCTGCTACTCCACAGATTGAAATGATGGAACCAGATTTAGAAGTAGCTTATTAGGTGCATGCTGCTTCAATAGTTACAGCTTTTCTATTTTTTTAACTGAAAGATGGGATCGTTTTCTTTTAATGAAGCCAGCATAGAATGATATGCTGTCCATGTTGCTATGATAACATAAACTTGCAGAGCAAAGTCAAGCAATTGCAGAACAATTTACCAAGGGTCATTCACTATCAACTTACCAGTGCTTAACTGCATAGTTATAAAGTTTAACATCACCAAGGAGGGTCATGGTATGTCACAAATGCAGGAAATTACTAGTTAGTTATGTACACTTGAGATTGAAAGTGATTGAGTCAGTATTGTTTGTGAATATAAATAGAAAACTGGGTAGAGCCAAAATCTTTCAACTGAAACACCCACTGAATTCCCTTAAGAGGGGAAAAGGCTCCGATTACAATCAAAATGCAGTACCTACTACTCTCTACCACTCTGGTGGCTGCATACTACTTCTAGAGCTCCAGACCCAAGAAAGGAATGTAAAGAACTGTTCTGCCCCAAAGGAATCACACAAATGTGAAAAAGTATTCTGGTTTGCCTCTGATATTTGGGATACAGAATTTCAAGCATCACATTTGTGAATGTACACAAACTATTGCAACTATAAAGGCATGCAATTATTGTTATAATATCACCCATAGGTACCTACATCTTTAATAATAAAACCATACACACTTGTGGAGTTTTAGTGATACCACCATTTAAAGTATTTAAACATTTTTCTAAGAATTGTTCCTGTGTAGAACCCAACACAAATGTGTACATCATAGTGCAATAGCCAATTATTTCTACAGTATTGCACTGCAGAGAAGAGACCATTCTTTAAATTTAGCCCTGGATTTTGAAACATTCTACTTCAAATTGTCTTTTCCCCAAGGATGTTTTTGGATAGGGAGACATCTCTGACGTGTTTATCAATTGGTAAGTACTCTGAGTAGTCAGATTTTGGCTTATCCTTATTTGGCTTGTCCCAAAGACTGGGCCTTTCATCACCCACGTGAAGACAGAGGTGAACTGTCTTTTCACTCATATTCTGCATCATTAGCTTGCCAGCCTGAGGTGGGGAGGTGATCAGTGGTTAGCCACACCTCTATGCCTTGACTTAAAAAAAAAAAGGTGTTGGGAAAAGGGAATGATAATTCATTGCATTAAGTTATTGCACTGGTGCAGTTGAATTTCTACATGCATCCCAGAAAATAGTGGGCATGCTCAGGATCTTCCCCTTACAGTTGGTCCTCATGAGCTGTCAGGAGATTTGGGTTTATTGATCCCACTGAATTTTGAACATTGAACAATGCCTCAGACTTGGGTGTTCAAGGAGGCAGATCTTCCCAGCAACCTAGGGGCAAACTCAACTGCAGCATCTCCCTTTCTCCAGAGAGAAAACAATAGACTTTGCTTCTTTAAATGCCTCTAGGCTGACACTGAACTTCAGCACTCATTGCTTCTAATAGCTGCAAGATACAGACAGAGAGCAAAAGTTTCTTACGACTCATGGTGGCTTCAGTAGTAGAATGGTTCTCATGTAGCCATGGGACCTAGTAACTGCATCCCTGCTTGTGTTCCCATTTACTTTAACCACTGGTGGCATGGAAAATGTTTGGCTGCTCTTTATTCTCTTTTATTTATTTATTTTTCCAGATCACCAAGGCCACTGCATAACTCTATAGCTGGTTTTTGCATGGTAAGATCTTTTGGCTAGCAAATTCTTCCCCTGAGGCTTCATTATACATTAGGAGCAGATTGCTGAGTTCAAGCCAAATACAAATGGTAAGTAATTATGTGTCAGGACCTCCAAGACATGTATGGCGAAAGGAGGAAGAACATTGCATTTCTTATGAGAAATGGAAATATTTTTTCCTGTGCTCTGACATGAAAGGAGAGGAAACATAGTTTCATTTGCAGATTTTGCTTTTGCCGCTTCCATACTCCCAGCTGGGAGGTTAGAGAGACAAAATATGGCCCAGCCTGGTGTGTGTACCCTTCTTTCCTTTGTGTCTTCCAGGCATAAAAGTGTTTTTTCCAGGTGTTAGTGGTCAATTCCGAACTGGTCCAGCAAAATTCCAGTCCCAGTTTCAAATGAAAGTAATACAATGCAGAGAAACCCCTCATTGAAGAAAAATCCCAACATGAACTAGAAATAAACTCATATTTTCTGCATCCTTTTCCTTTTCTCTGTCTTCTTGGCTTACTTTTCCTTTTGCACATTATGAGGTGCTGTACCAAAGAAGTCTCCATTCACTCAGCGCCCCTCCTTGAGGAGAGTTTCCTCTGGAATCCATAATCCTGTTGTGAATTCCTGTACAGGATATATGAAGCATTTCAGAATGAATGGCTGGAACAGCCACTGAGCTTGGGGAAAGATACAGGATTTATGATGACTACCCTGGCTGAGAAAACAGTAATATGATTGATTCTAAGTATATCTTGCAGAACGCTGCTATTTCACCACTCATTCTTTTTCCTCTTTCTCCCTTTTCCTCCACCTCCCCCTTCTCTCAGAAAAATAATTGCTAAGAATACCCTCAGCAGCAGCAGGAAAAGAAAGTACAGTCAAGGATCAACTTGGAATTTCTGTAGTAATATGGCTGGTGTCCTTGGTCATGCCCTTTTATGGGGTGTGAACTGGGTATTTTAAAACTCATTCAGTGTGAGGGGAGCAGGTCTAAGAAGGATGAGAGAATGAATGCAATGAAGCACTTATTTCTTAAAGTTGGTACTCCAGAAGGTAAAAGACTGATACCATTGTCAAGATGGTCATTGGCTGTATATCTTAATTTGTTGGCAGTTCCTTGTGGACATGACACAATTCTTATTCCACCCAACAAAATAAGAACTCCTCCAACACATTCCAGCTCAACTTGAATGAATAACAGGGATTGCCACAGAAACACTGTTGTGTAACTTCCAAGTATTGTCTAAGTGCCTATGAAGAAAGAGTGCATCTTCAGCTGATCTCAAATAATACATGTGAAAACAGTAACAGTGCTTGAAAGATTAAATAGAAGCTTTGGAAAGTTTAGAACCCATTAGTGCCACCTTTTTACAGTTTCATCTTCTTTCAGTGTCATGTTTTAAATCCCTATTGTCACAAATACTCTCATCACCTCAAATCTAGATACAAAATAACCAAAGTTAGAAGCCAGAAAACTATTCAATACAAAATAAAGCATTACTCTTAAGTAAAAGACAATAGCTTTCTCTCAGACAAACTGCTATGGAGTGCGATTACCTTGTGTTTGCCCTGTGTATGTCTCTTCAATGGCCTTGGGGAAAGTCACTCTGTTGTTGACTGGAGTGGCTCATTAGGAGCAGAAGAAAGAATTAATCCTGCAAATTGTTTACATTGGTGCAGCAGGAATTTTGGACAAACAAAAAGTTATCCCTTTAAAATGGAAGATCTGGCTAAAGCTATTTGCTGAATTTGGCCTCAGTCTACAAATAACCCCAGCTGCTCTAGACCTGCATTTTTAAAGAAAAAATAAAAATGCTCAGCTTGTATCTTGAAGACCTAAATTGTATCTTGGCTGAGGGATTATTCTGTCTTTCTAAATCCACTGGGATTTTTCAGCAAATCAATATGTCTCATCTGGCTGCAGTACTCATCACTCTGTCAAGTGTAATCAACTATGGGGAGAGAAGAGGTGAGATAACCTTGAGAGAAGGGGTGTACTGCAAATTCAGGTAATATATAGCAAGTTTCCTTTCATGTGTGCACTAACCTTTTCTCCCACGATGTTTATCATTCTCCACACATGGCCTGCTATCTGCACATCAGTCATGTTCAACTTTCCCCCTTTCTCACCCCCCCAGCTCCCAGAGGGATGGAGAGGAGAATCAAAAGAATGTAACTCCCATGGTTTGAGATAAGAACAGTCCACTAACTAAGGTATAACACAAACCACTACTGCTACCACCAATAATAATAATGGTAAGGGAAATAACAAGGAAAGAGAATGCAACTGCTCACCACCTGCTGACCGATACCCAGTCTGACCGAGCAGTGCTGTAGCTCTTCTGGGTAACTGCCCCCAGTTTTACATCCTGCACATGACATGCTGTGGTATGGAATACCTCTTTGGCTAGTTTGGGTCAGGTGTCCTGTCTCTGCTTCCTCCCTGCTCCTCCTCCTCCCTGGCAGATCATGAGACTCACAAAGTCCTTAATCAGAGTAAACATGACTTAGCAACAACTAAAACCATTGGTGTTATCAGCGCTGTTCCCAGGCCGAAAGTCAAAACACAGCACTGCACCAGCTACTAAGAAGGAGAAAAATGACTGCTACTGCTGAACCCAGGACAAGTATGTTTGTAAGGAGATCACTCTTTCACTGGGAGATGGTCGGTCTGGACACTTGTAGGTTACGTTTTGTGTTCCAGTAAATCTTGTTTCTTCTACAAAAAAAAACCAAAAAAAACAAAAACAACCCACCAAAAAAAAAAAAAAAAAAACAACAAAACCAAACTCAAGACCAAACACACAACTATGTAAATGTCTCATTCTATGACTTTCAAGGAACAAAATATTTTACTTTTGTCAGATAAAACACACAGGCATTTGATGGTGTTAAGCTCAGAATAGTATTAAACGTAGGGGATCTAATACCACCCTGTTAAACTTATTGACTCTGATACAGCTTGGAGCAAAAAATACTTAACATTGGGTCAGCATTGCTAAGAACATGACCTGTTAGCAATCTCTACCTTTAAATTTCAAGTGTATTATTTGGTTAACTCTGGAAATAAAGCTACTAAGCTTGAATGCTTTTAGAACTATTTTTGTATCCCGTTCTTTTTGTCTGTTGCTTTGAGTCTTCATGGATTTTCAATGAGATACTGTTCTTTATACCATCTGTAACCAACATTTTTCCAATATGTTGTCAATACTGCTCCTCTGGTTATTTCTCCTAAAATTGCTTCAAGAAGGTGTAGGGAAGACAAAATAGAAAAATCAGACTCTAGATGCCAAATCAATTTGCAGAAATTCATACGCCTGTTAAGCTTTATTTAGGCAGCTTTTCAGAAAGTATGTTTGTTGTACATTG